ATTGATGCCAGGGACCACTACTGGGCCGCGGCCCGGCGGTTGAGAAGCACTGGTCTAGTGGTCATAGTTCCTGGCTACAGATCCAGNATGGCTTCCTTTATTCCATCCAAGTAAATATTGCAATAGTATCTTAAAATAAGACAGAACCATCTCTTCCACGTTCCTTGGTTGAGGCACTATGCTACAAGCCGGAAGGTTTTGGGATCGAATCCCGATGAGGTGGATTTTTCAATTTACATAATCCTTGGCACTGGGGTTGACTCAGCCTCTAATAGAAATGAGTACCAGGAATATTCCTGGGGGTGAAGGGCGGCCGGCGCGTGAAGCTGACAACCTGACCGCCATATGTGAGCCGATTGTCTGGAAAATGTGGAAGCCTCGACGTCTCACGACCCTATGGGCCTCTGCGGTCTGTTGATGGGATACCTTTATTTTTTTTTTACTTACTTTACTTCCACATTCCTAAATTCAATCGCAACCATCCTCACATTCAACATTACAAAACTTACGGAGTTGAACTGTCAATTAAAAAAACAAACACTGATTCTTGGATTGTTTAATGATTGTGAGTCACCTACATAAGTTACAGAGAGTCGAAATGATTATACGTTCTGTCCATGATACGAGTATGTATGTATTGACCGTCTTCTAGTGCACACAATCTGCCATCCTCAGGTTTGTTATTTACGTTAAACTATTGCACTGCTCGCCATCATGTGTCGTTTATAAAATGATTAAAAATATATATTCTTCATGTATTATGATAAAATTTATATATATTAATTTTTTTAAAAATTTGTTAAGATTTATCATCTTATACGTCGTATTTCAAACTCGCGTATTGTATCATTCTTCAGCTATGGGAATCGTTCTTCCTATATTTTGTGTATACTGTGTCTTGTGATTTTAAACCATTTTATAAACGACACATGATGGCGAGCAGTGCAATAGTTTAACGTAAATAACACACCTGAGGATGGCAGATTGTGTGCACTAGAAGACGGTCAATACATACATACTCGTATCATGGACAGAACGTATAGTCATTTCGACTCTCTGTAACTTATGTAGGTGACTCACAATCATTAAACAATCCAAGAATCAGTGTTTGTTTTTTTAATTGACAGTTCAACTCCGTAAGTTTTGTAATGTTGAATGTGAGGATGGTTGCGATTGAATTTAGGAATGTGGAAGTAAAGTAAGTAAAAAAAATAAAGGTATCCCCTCAACAGACCGCAGAGGCCCATAGGGTCGTGAGACGTCGAGGCTTCCACATTTTCCAGACAATCGGCTCACATATGGCGGTCAGGTTGTCAGCTTCACGCGCCGGCTGCCCTTCACCCCCAGGAATATTCCTGGTACTCATTTCTATTAGAGGCTGAGTCAACCCCAGTGCCATAGTGCGGCTGGAAGGATTATGTAAATTGAAAAATCCACCTCATCGGGATTCGATCCCAAAACCTTCCGGCTTGTAACATAGTGCCTCAACCAAGGAACGTGGAAGAGATGGTTCTGTCTTATCTTAAGATACTATTGCAATATTTACTTGGATGGAATAAAGGAAGCCATGTAATGTCTCACCCAGGCAGGACAGCCGATCCCAGACTCATAATGGAACTAGGGAATGTTGTCACTCAAACGTGGCATTTGATGAGAATCAGCCACTAATCCAGTAAGCTTGATCCTAACATTAGAAACAGTTGCCAAATTAGACTGTTGATAATCATGGACCCTTTTTGACCTTGGCGAATTTATAACGGTAGTGTGGTAAGTTTGGGGGGAGGGGATTCCTTTTTTTCGACTGGCGACGTTTTTTTATAGCGCGAAGCTAGGAAGTAGTCAAGGCGAGCGGGCGAGCGACCAAGCGGCGGAGCAACACGTCTATCAGTCGAGCTCAGCGCGGCGCGTGGAGTGCATTTAGTCGTGTCTCTGGTGCGATGTGTGTTGATGTGACAGCGCTTTGTTGTGATCTCGGGAAAGTGTGATCTTTGTTGTAACTGACGATGTTGAAGAAGGAGAAGCCGATGATGTCTGTGACAGCCATAATTCAGGGGGCACAGGCCCAGCACAACTGGAATAGAGGTAGAGTAACTCGTGTCTTTGCTTGGATCTTTTTTAGCTCTGATGTTTTATGAAGGTTAAGCTTCAACACATAAGCATTCCCTTTTGAAGTTTGTTTGGTCTTGAAGACCGATAGTGAGGTATAAATAGGGTGTGTGCGCCGCCTGATGTAACGTTTAATAACTCGGTATTTCGCCTACATATTATGAAGTTGACTGGTCACCTCTATTTAGTGCCAATGTCAAGAATGCTTGGAGCTGTACTTCCATTCTTCTATACGTCTTCATGCCTGTTGCATGCTTAAGCACAGGGAAAATTTTACGTTTACGTTACTTAGGGCCTAGATTTGTTCTTCGAATAAATATCAGTTTCATCAATAGAATTATCTTGTAGCGAAGATGCTGTGTGTTTTGTTGAAGGGTTGACCGAATTGTTTAAACAGTTGAATCGACGACCAAGAATAAGAAGCTAGAAATATCTGCGAAAGCCATAATTTAGGTGGAAGCTTAGCAGAGTTGGAATAGTGGATAAATAAGTCGTGCCTTTTGATGGTTTTCTTCAGTTCCTCTGATGTGTTCTGACTTAGAAACCGGTAGTTTCCCCCGTAAAACTGAATAGGGGAGATATCTTCTCTCTTTCACTTTCTTAAAACATGCTGATTAGTCCGCAAAGACCTCAAGTGAGGTGTTGGATGTAAGGTGTTTAAACTGTTTATAAGATAGTGGCATATCGTTTACAGACTGTATGTGTGGATTTCAGTGGATTCCAGTCATTGTAGAAAACTGTAGCGAAAGAAGGATCAAACTTGTATCCGTCTGGCATTATATAAAATGCACAATAGGAATCGTTTGTGAACAGGAGATGAAGTAATGCTCTACACCACTGATCTGCTGCGCATAAAATTTTCTTCCGAAATAATTAGGAGAGCTCAGTGTTCCGGCGGTTATTAAAATCTAGGCCTCTTCTAATAACACTAGAGTGGTCTAGTGGCCAGAGTTCCTGGCTACAGATCTAGAGGTCCCGGGTTCGATTCCCGGCGCTACAAGGTTTTCTGAGAAGTAGTGGGTCTGGAACGGGGCCCACTTAGCCTCTTGAGGATATTTGAGGAGCTGTTTCAAGGAAATAGCGGCTCCGGTCTAGTAAACCGAGATTAACTGCCGTGGGGATTCGTTGTACTGACCACGCGACACCCTCTATCCGCAAAAGTTGGCACGAACTTCGCCGAGAAGCGGCGGTCGCTCGGTCGGTGTAGTTCGCTTGCGGACTACAGGCCACGGAGTTTGTAATCATAACTACAACAACGTTATTGAAGGTGGTTTTTGTTGGTAACTCGCGCGGCAACCATAATCCAATTTGAGGCGAGGGTTTATTGTTTTCATTACTCAAATCCTTTCAATCAGTCATTTTTCTCTCAAGAGGATGAAAATGCAGAAAGAGAAGCGGATGAAATCAGGCACGTAACTCGAAACAGCCTAAGCCGAAGTGCACNCGAGGGTTTATTGCTTTCATTACTCAAATCCATCCATTCAATCAGCAATTTTTCTCTCAAGAGGATGAAAATGTAGAAAGAGAAGCGGATGAAATCAGGCACGTAACTCGAAACAGCCGAAGTGCAGTAAATCGTGTTGTTGGTTGTTTTACTCAGTCCCTTCTAGATTTTCCATGCATTTTCAAGGTCGGCTAAACTTACTCAAATTGATCGTGGATTCCGTTTATTTCCTTTCACCTTTAAATGGGACTACGATCTGGTCGGTCCTTGAAGTGGAGTTGAGTCAACAGTTTCACAATTATGACAATGAACTTCCGCGGAGAGAATTCTTAGCAAGCAAAGCCTAAGGTTAGTTTTTATTACGAAACATTGAAGTGGATCTTGAAAGAATAGTTTGTAAAACTATGAACTTTATTGAACTAGCCCAGAGTGCAATCAGATGAAGGGGTTTTGTGGTCACGGGGATGAACATTCTGGTTCTTTTACAAGGAATTCCTTGGCCAATTGAGTGTTAGTTTATCTCGCAAGAACCTGTAGTGTCGACTAAGTGCTCATAGTCTTGTGGTATTGTAAATATAAGTAATATACTTGATTGCCGCAAATTACCTCATTTAAGAATAGCCGTCAATTTCGTTATAATTTCGATGCCTACTTTTTCCACACACACACACACACACAGACACACACTGAAAAAATTCAGCATTTCTTTGGCTTGTACACAAACAGTGATAAAGTTCCTCGTTTATATTGGACCGTCCACATATATGTATTATGTATAACGTTATTGAACCATGGTGGAGCTTCCCCAAGCATGCCTCCACAGCAATTTTATTAAATTTCCTTCTGTTCTTGATTGCATCAAAGACAAAAAAAAAATTTTAGTGCAACTTTTTTTGGTCAAGAATGCAACCACAAGGGAATCAATGAATTATTTCGGTTCTATTACAAAGAACTGGAAATAGTAAATCACTTTATATGTATTTGCTGAGAAGAATATGAGAGGTAGGGGCCACTGGTCGAACAAGGTCGACAGATGTCGGGAGTTTGTGTGCGTTATGGTATTGACATTCATATTTATATGAAAGGGTTTAATGAAAAGGAATTCCATAGAGCACAGTCCTTCAAAAACCAGTTGTCTCTCTCTGTTACTGTAGTCCGCAAGCGAACTATACCGACCGAGCGACCGCCGCTTGTTGGCGAAGTTAGTGTCAACTTTAGCGGATAGAGGGCGTCGCGTGGTGAGCGCAACGAATCCCCACGGGCCGTTAGTTTCGGTTTTCTAAACCTAAGCCGCTATTTCCTTGAAATAGCTCCTCAATTATCCTCACGAGGCTGAGTAAATCCCGTTCCAGACCCACTACTTCTCAGAGAATCTGGTATCGCCGGGAATCGAACCCTGACCTCTGTATCTGTAGCCAGGAACTCTGCCCACTAGACCACAGAGACGGCCCCAGTTGGCTCTCATCTAGTCAAATTCTTCGCCTTTAATGGAACTGGAAACTTCGTTACCTAGTTCTCAAGAGCCCGCAACCAGTCCTTATCCTGAGCAAAACTAATCGAATCTATACCCACCCTGTATCTTGATGAATTTTAATGTTATCTCCGCTTAGGTCTTGTAAATGACGTCTTCCCCCGAGGCTCCGAGAGCAGAGTTTATATGCAGTTCTCATTTCTTCCCTGTATGTTATACATACCCCGCCTCTGTTGTTCTGTCATCCTGATGACAGACTGTGAAGAATTACGAAGCTCTTATTAAGCAGTTTCTTCCAGCTTTCTATTACGTCCTCCCTCTTAGGCCAAAATATGCTAAGCATCCTGTTCTAACACATCCTCATCCCATGTCCTCTGTCAGTGCGATTGTTCAAGTTTCACACCATACGAAATTATAGCTACTCGTAAAAAAAAAAGTTGTTATTGCTAGTGGGGTGGGACTAAGTCGCTTGTGCTGCGGCCACTTCTGGCCAATTGTACCAGCCCCAGATGATAGGTGAGGGTGATTGTGGAGCAGTTGGTGGAATGAAGATTGGCAAGGGAAAAGAAGTACTCGGAGAAAACCTGCCCCAGCGCCACTTTGTCCACCACAAATCTCACTTGACGAAACCCGGTATCGAACCCGGGTCGCCGCGGTGGGAAGCCAGCGACTAACCGCTTGAGCTATGGCGCGGCCTCACTCATAAAATTACAGTTATGTATTTATACATTCATAGATACACTTAAAAGTAAAAGATTATGAACTGAGCGGTAGCAAGCATTCCCCGAATTACCCTACGCTTAGTTTCTCCGTGAAGGTAAATCTCATCTGCTGTGGCTGTTCTGAAGTATTTGTACTGTTCAACATTTTTAAAAGAATTTGTCAGCGAAGTTGATATTGTGATTAGCATGACCGTGAAGGAAACTCTACACGTAAATTGAAGAACTCCCACCTATTTTGGGAAGGAGGGGGGGTCCGTGGTGGCTATTTCCATTTAACGTCCATAGTTTCTTGGACTAATCATCTCTGTGTCCTACAGAACGCAGCTGTTTTGAGGAAAACGATGTACATAACATGGTATTCCTGCTGTAAAACAGTCTGTCTGTCTATGGAAATTCACGTATATAAAATATTAATAAATTGTTTCTAACTATTGGAACACAAGACTAAATTATCTTAAGATAAAATGAAAGTACATACCGAAATAATCTGTAAACTTTGCCCCCCCCCCTCTCTCTCACACACAAATACAAATACACAAAATTGTTCAAGAATAATTTTACATACGACTAGGTCCATGTAGAATTGAAATTTTCTAAAGGACACAAGTATAAAATTATTCATAATGTAACAAACTTTGAAGTGTGTGTCGTGTTAGTCTTTTGAGTGTCCTGTGTTTCCTTACTGAAGTAGAAGTCGGTTATATTTTTGAAGATATTTCACCAGAAGTAACGCTTCGTATATTAATCGTTTTCTTTTTCTCGACGATGCACTGTTTAGGAGAAATAGGATAACGTGTATTCTCACGTACAACGTTTTTGATGCCACTGTTCCCAGTTTTCGAACTAGAACCAAATCAGTAATTTCTCCAGTTTGTCTATCCAAAAATAATATGTTTTGTACTTACCATTTTTCCTATGGCGCCCAAAGGGAGAGAATGGTTGGGAGGACGGACGGACGGACGGGCGGGCATTTGGCTTTTAGGTATGACATTCCCGTGAGGAAGAATCTGCATTGCAATTTCGGAAACGACTTTTGTTATTCATGGCAGTTACTTACTTTTGTTTCTAAGTTCTTGGACACACTTCATTTTTATGACCTTCAGAACGCAATACTTGTGAGGTAGGCCATAGAAAGAAAAATGTACTTCCAGAGTAGAACGGCCCAACTGTCTTGAAATTTCACATACTCGTACATAAAAATGTAGGACGCCATTTGTAACTACTCGAATATGCAGCTAAGTTATCCTGAAAAAAGTACAGTTGAAAATAGATTCGGGGTAAACACATTTCGTTACCATAGTTACTATAAATTATGGTGAAGTTATTTACTCATTACTAT